TTAACTTTCTGCGTATCATTTTTGATTTGTACATGCAGCCCTACTTTTCCAATATAAACAAACTGTTTTCCTCGGGCAGCAATTACTTTCTGTTCCGTGGTTTTAAACAGTCTGTAACGTCGAAAATTGTTTTTAAAGAAAGTTTTGCGACAAAAACTAAATTGCGCCCCAGTGTCGAGCAAGGCCGTAGTGGTTGTTTAACAAAATATGAATTTATGGCAAAGTCAAATTTTGAACTACTACCGTATTTAATTTCCGAGGAAGTTTTCTTCACAGGTAGTGACTGGACACTCTTCTCGGCCACTCTGGTTAGTTTAAATCCTTTTGTTCCGCACCTTGCTGCTGTTCTTATTGCGATCTCCAAATACTTTTGATTTGATCCGTCTTCTTGCTATCGCCTTTTTGGATCTTTCCGATGGCCGATTAGGATACTGCTTACTTTGAGATTTCTGTTGAGACAAAAACCTCGATTACTGGCGGATATTTGTTGAACGCGCGTTTTAAGCTGTTCTGGAACTTCACGGCGAGTTGAAATAGACTTTCCAATGTCTGTGGGTTTCTCACCTTTAAAAAATCCTGAATCGAAGGAAGCAGCATTAAAATTATCTCTATTAATTCATTATGTGATTGATCTCTTTCCATACAGTAGATTGAAGATTTGTATTTTTCTCAAAATAAAATTGGTCAAATCTTCGACATTCGACTGATATTTATTGAAGAGCTCTGCTTCCAGTTTTTCTCGGTCTTTGACTACGGAAAACGCTTTTAATAGCGCGCTTTTAAAATTTTGCCAGGTGTAGGTTTCGGAATGCTCTTGGATAAACTAAGGGTTTGGCCTTTTAAATTAGCCTTTGCTACTGTAATCTTCTGTAGCTGGTTTACGGGATGTAGTGTAAAATGCAGCTTCAGCTGTTCTAGAAATGTCATCACCGAACCTTTGCCATCAAACGTCGCGGCTGGCTTTATAGCTGCCATGGTTTCTACTATGAAACCAAATCCCTTCATTGTGTTTACTGGTGGCTCAGGAATTTGAAAGGTACGAGGAATCAGCGTAAATTTTCTATTTTCTAACGACATGGTTCGTTAAAATGCTTCGGACACAAATATAGAGCTCCTGACTTTTATTCTGTCAAATTAAGTGTCGAAGAACCCAGTGAACTACAAAGCGAACAATTGCTTAAGTCCAAGAACAGAAACGTTAACTCAAGAAGGGCTTGTTCAGGAACATGCACGAACTCAGTTAATACGCAATAATTTAATATGTTCATTATATAATGTAGATTTTTTGTGGCAGCAGTGATGTTTTGTTATATATTACTTTGAGCGTGATAACGCATGGAATTTGATTCTTTTTTGTAATGTTTAGAATGCTAAATAAAATAGTTCGTTGTTAATTAAAAAGGTTTTCTCTGCTAAATATATTACCATTCGTCCGAAATTATTAAATAAGTCAAGAAATTGATTAATTTCAAACAACTGGCGTCCGGTGACAGAACGGAATGGCTATTTGAAGAAAACGAAACAACGGTTTGAAAACGAAACACCGATTTCGTATTGGAATTTATCAAGTGAGTTTATGATTTATTTGATTATATCCTTTATTATTTGAATATATTGGACATATTGAATTTAAAATCATGGAATTTTTATTACGAAAGCGTAAGCCTCTAAGGCAATCGTTTACGATTACTGCCAGTGCTTTAGATGCTGAAATTCTAAAGCCTGACGTGGAGGTTAATCAACTCCAAGTATTGAGCTCACAGTTGGAAGAAAAATTTAAGAGATTAGATGAAGTTCAATCACAAATTTCCGAACTTTTGTTAAAAAAGTGAAAACGAAAGTGAATATTTAGCTGATTTTGACACGAATGAAACATATCGTGATAAATATATCAGTTTAAAAACAAAAGTAGAAAACAAAATGGTGAATTCCACTCCTGTAGTTACACCTGGATTTCCACGAAAAGGAACTTTAAATTTCCAAAGTTGGAGCTTCAAAAATTCAATGGAGAGACCCGAAATTGGTTAGGATTTTGGGGAGAGTTTAAGAAGATCGACGAAGATGTAAATATAGATGACGATGATAAATTTCAGTACCTATTTCAGGCAACGGTCGTTGGATCCCCAGCGAGAGAGCTCATCCTCCCTCAGGCGCGAATTGTAAAGAAGCTATCAAGGAGCTAAAATCTCGATTTGCACGCGACGAATTACTCGTAGAAATCTATGTTCGCGAATTATTAAAGTTAGTTTTGGTTCAAGCTAGCAAAAAAGGAAATATGATTCTATCCAACTTATATGATAAGTTAGAGACGCAACTCAGAGCTTTGGAGACGTTGGGGGTAAAAAGTGAGATTTATGCAGCTATGCTTTATCCCCTTGTAGAATCTTCACTACCTGAAGAAATTCTGAGGGCATGGGAGCGATCTCGCCAGCGTAGGGAAAGTGTTGCACACACTGAAAATTTGGAAAATTTATTGCCTTTTATCCGAATTGAAGTTGAAAGTGAAGAGCGTCTTCAGTTGGCCCGTACAAGTTTTTCTGCTCCAGACAAATTTGACTCAATTCCAGCTACAGCAGCTTGTACAATGTATGTCCAGAAAGTAAGTTCCGTTTGGTAATAAAAGTAAATTGTGTACAACTACAGAACAGTTATTTATTGCACAAAATTTAACAAATCTTAAACTACTTTTCCACATAACTGCCGAAATATTGCAGGCATTTGTCATAGCGTGGCACAAGTTTTTGTATACTTTCTTCATAGAAATTTGCAGCCTGTGTCTTCAACCAGTTGGAAACAGTTTCTTTCAGCTCGTCGTCATTGTTCAAGTGTTGACCGCCAAGGAAAGACTTAAGATGTAAGAACAGATGAAAGTCGCTAGGAGCGAGGTCAGGGCTGTACGGAGGATGGTCAAACACGTCCCAGCCAAATCCCTGTAGGAGGTTTTTCGTCACATTTGCAGTGTGTGGTCGTGCGTTGTCGTGAAGAAAAACAACACCTTTTGACAGCAATCCTCGGCCCTTATTCTGTATTGCGCAGCGCAATTTCCGAAGTGTCTCGCAATAAGCATCTGCTCTGATTGTTTGACTACGCGGTAAGAAATCAATGAGTAAGATGCCTTTCCAGTCCCAGAACACTGTGCACATCATTTTTCGAGGTGTCAAGATTTGCTTCGGCTTAACCTTTGCTGGGGATGAAGTGTGCCTTCATTCCATTGATTGCCGCTTACTTTCAGGGGTGTCGTAAGAAACCCAAGTTTCATCTCCTGTGACTATCTGTGTCAGAAATTCTTCGCCGCTTTCAGCATAACGGGTCAAAACTGAAGTGCACTACCCATCCGTTTTGTTTTTGTGTGCTCAGTAAGAATTTTTCGTACCCAACGTGAGCAAAGTTTACGAAATTTCAGTTTTTCGGTAACAATTTCATGCATTAGTGATCATGAAATTTGGGGAAATTCCATAGCGAGAGCACTAATTGTAAACCTTCGGTTTTCATGGATCTTGTCATCAATCGCGTGAACCAGTTCTTCTGTAACCAAAGATGGACGCCCACTTCGTTCTTCATCGTGCATATCACTACGACCGTCATTGAACTTTCGGACCCATCTTTTCACCATTGAATCACTCATCGCTTTTCGTCCGTAAATATCGCAAATTTGCCGATAAATTTCACTAGGTTTCACTTTCCTCGCATTCAGAAAACGAATCACAGATTTGATTTCACGAGCGGCGGGATTTTCAATCAACACTGACATTGTAAACAAGCACAACAAAGCGTACGTGACTGACAGCGATCTCCAAATGGAGAGCGTTTCTTCTCCTTGATACAGAGCGTCTACTGCGCATGTGCGGAACTGCGATCGCAGAGCTGCAGCGGAGATAAATTGAAACGGAACTTACTTTCTGGACGTGCCTCGTATTTATGCAGGATATTCAAAGAAGAAACAGCTTAATTTTTGTGTTTGGTGTGACAAGGAAACACATCATTCTTATGAGTGCTTTAAGCTGCACAGCCTTTCATTGGAAGATAAGAAAAATTTACTAAAGAAAAAAGCTTGTTTTAACTGCCTAAAAATTGGGCATGCTGGAGAAAAGTGTAAAAGTTCTGTGAAATGCCTAGTTTGCAACAAACGTCATGTAACGGTGATGTGCAGAGAACTAAAAAGTTCTAGAAGTTCAAAAAAAGAAGCACCTAAAGCAGCAAACGAAACGAGTGAGACTTTGTCTAACCAAAAACTGCAGACAACTCTTCTCCAAACTATTATGGTGAAGATTGTCCATAATGGAAAAAAAGAACTTGTGAGAACGCTTTTTGACAGTGGGTCACAAAGATCTTACTTACGGAAAGACATAATAAAGAGACTAGATTTAGTCCCATTAGATCAAAAGACTTTGAGCCACAACTTGTTTGGTGGAGTTGAAACTGAATCTCAGGTCCATGGTATTTTTGATATCGAAATACAAGGAACGGAAAATAAATTAAAATACGAATTATCGGTTTTAGATAAAGACAAAGTTTGTGGATACATTCCTAGAGTGAAATCCAAACATATATGTTCCTCACTTCGAGAACATAAAATAAAAATCAGTGATTCAGGAAGAGATATACCAGATATCGGATTGTTAATAGGAGCCGACTATTCCGGACAGTTGATGACGAATAATATCATTCCAATTGACAAAAACCTTATTGCCATTGAAACAAAATTGTGTTGGACCCTACAAGGCCCAGTGCAAAGTCATAATACCTTGCTTGATACCGTCGGACTTTGTTATTTGGATCTCACAGAACTATGAAATTTAGAGACAATTGGCATAAAAGATCCGGCGGAAGTGAAGAATTTAGAAAATGAAACGATCAAATTTTTCCTAGAGAACATTAAAGTAATCGAGGGCAATAGGTATGAAGTCTGTTTGCCTTGGAAGGATAGTCATCGGATTCTTGAAGATAATAAAGATAAAACGGAAAAAAGACTCTTCGCCAATACACGAAGACTGCAGAAGATGGGATATTTCGAAGAATATGATGGTATTATTAAAGGCTGGCACGAGGAAGGTATAATTGAAATAGCTCCGAATAATACTGATACAGGTCACTATTTATCTCATCAAGCAGTAATCAAGGATTCCAGTCTGACTACGAAAGTGCGACCTGTATTCGATGCATCGTTGAAGGATGAAAATGGAAATTCCTTGAATGCTTGCCTCGAAAAGGGGCCAAATTTAATAGAAATGCTTCCGAAACTTTTGATACAATTCCGGCAACATGCAATTGGTGTTACTGCCGATATAAGGAAAGCTTTTTTACAAATCAGTTTATGTGTCAGAGACAGAGACTTTTTTGAAATTCCTGTGGTGGAAAGATTCAAACAAAACCGAGATTGTTACCTACATACACTGTCGTGTCGTGTTCGGCATTTCTTCGAGTCCATTCCTGTTGGGAGCAACGATTTCTTAACATTTAGATAATGCTCCACAAGATTTAAGAGGAACGGCACTTAGATTGAAGAAATCCTTTATGTCGACAATTGTATAGCTAGTTTTCGAAACCGAAGAAGAAGTAGTCAAGTTCAAAGAAGAGTCCCAAACTCTAATGTCTTCAGGAGGTTTTGACCTTAGAGGGTGGACTGCTGCACCATTCAAAGATAGAAGCATGACTTCCTATCAGAAGGTCATTCCAATTCTGGGACTCTCATGGGACACCGAGAATGATGAAATCTATTGCAATTTAACCCCTTTCACATTTTCAAAGAGTGCCCATACGAAAAGATCTCTTCTGTCAATCTCACAGAGGATATTCGATTCCATCGGATTTACAAGTCCAACCACGTTAATTCCAAAACTTATTATACAAAAAACATGGAAGATGGAACTTTCCTGGGATGAAAATCTTTCACAAGGTATAGAAAGAGGAATTCAGGCTTGGCTCAAAAGACTACACTTCTTGAATTATTGTAAAATTTCAAGAAGACTTGTGATTGGACCCTTCGATGACTGCTCTATCTCTCTACATTGTTTTAGTGATGCTAGTAAGGTATCTTATGCAGCATGCATTTTCTTACGTGCATATTTTGAGGGCAAAACTTCAGTACAATTGGTATTATGTAAATCAAGAGTAGCGCCTACCAAAGAAGTAACTATTCCCAAATTAGAGTTGCTTGGAGCAGTTACAGCTACTCGGCTGTACCGTCATTGTAAGTCATTGACGCTCTTAAATTGACAAAGTGCCAAGTGTACTTTTGAAGCGACTCGTCTGTAGTTCTGACATGGATAAAAAAAACCCCACTGGAGTGTTTTTGTGGCCAATTGTGTAGCTGAAATAAGGAGATGCACAAATCCGGACGACTGACATTATGTACCAAGCTTAAGCAATCCAGCTGATCTTCCCTCTAGAGGGTGCGATGCCAAAATGTTGCTACAGAGCAGATGGTGGGAGGGGCCGGATTGGCTTAAACAGGAGCCGGATAAATGGCCTCTCTCTGAAGAGTCAGAACTAGAAACTGATGAAAGTACAGTTAATTCAGAAAAAAGAGAAAATGTGGTTTCTAACGCGTTTCTCTGTAGAACCCCAAACTTCACAGAAACATTCACTCGATTTTCTGGAATATTATAAAAATGTGAGAGTATTAGCTTGGATCTTTAGATTTCTTAACAACAATCGGTTATAGAAAAAACGAAAAATTTAATTAAGGAATTGAACCTCAGAAGAAGTGAATTTTGCAGAGAAAAGGTTGTTATATTTAATTCAAGCCGAAAACTTTCGGAATACTGATGGAAAATTTTGAAAGGGATGATTACATTTGAGGATGACTTTGGACTTCTTCGAGTAAGAACCAAACTAATTTTAAGTGACGAAGACGAAAACTTTAAGTGTCCTATTCTATTACCAGGGAACCATGCACTAGTTCATCGCCTAATAGAACAGAAACATCGGCGACTGCAGCATGCAGGTACAGACCTTGATCTGCAACTTGCGAGAAGATTATTGGATTGTCGGTGTGAGACGTCTTGTGAGAGAATTTGTTCAAAGTGTGTTATTTGTAAAAGATTCTTGTAAAGATTTGTAAAGGCAAATCTGTTCAACCACCAGTTGCACCCTTACCAAAGGACCACATTAAATATGCTGGACTTTTTGAGGTCACTGACATCGATTTAGCTGGCCCATTGTATGTATTGTCTGGCGAAAAAGCATGGATTGTGATTTTTACTTGTGCGATCTATCGTGCTGTGCACTTTGAATTGACGAAATCTTTATCAGCAGATTCATTTATAATGGCACTCCGAAGATTCATTACAAGAAGGGGTAGAATAAGCATCTTATATACTGACAATGGTACAAACTTTGTAAGAACGAATAATGCACTAAACGAACTTGATTGGGGAAAAATAATGGAGTTCTGAACAATTGAGAAAATTAAATGGAAGTTTAATCCTCCAACCGCTGCCTGGTGGGGAGGATTTTGGGAGAGGTTGGTACGGATGCTAAAAGATCTTTTAAGACGAGTTTTGGGCTCTAAAACGGTCAGTTACATTGAGCTGGAAACTATACTATGCGACTGTGAAGCAAAAATGAATTCACGACCCTCAACTTGCTTAGAAGATGGGACTGCGGAGTTAAAGCCATTGACACCTGCATATTTTATACAAGGAATCCCTCACCATGATGTAAAGGATCTGGATACAGCAAAAGTTTAAATCGTCGCTTGCGGTATTTACAAAATCTTCGGATTGATTTGCGCTCGAGATTCAGAAATGAGTACCTAGCCGTGCTAGTCCATAGAAGAGAACGAAAAGGAGACACTTTAGAGGTGGGTGATGTGGTGCTGATTGGAACTCCGGAAAAGCGCATCAACTGGCCACTGGGACTTGTTGTCCAAGTATTTCCAGGTGCAGATGGTCATATAAGAGTGGCAAAAGTAAAAACGGCTGACGGAGAAAAAATAAGACCCGTCCAAAACCTGTATCCTTTAGAAGTGACTCGTCCCTCAGAGCTACCTCAGCCTCGTTAAATCCAGATCAAGATGCGGATCTTAGAACTCCCCCCCCCAACTACCAACAGCTCTGGATGGTCAGATTGATACCTCAAGAATAGTTGAGCCTCTGACTGAGTGCCCTATAATAGGCAGACTCATAACCACTAGGGTCGAAAGACAAGTAAAAGTTCCTCATCGACTGAATCTCTGAACTGAGTAGAGAATACGTTGCAATTTCCTAAAAATTGCAAGGTGGGAAGATGTTCAGGAACGTGCACGAACTCAGTTAATACGCAATAATTTAATATGTTCATTATAATGTAGATTTTTTGTGGCAACAGTGATGTTTTGTTATATATTACTTTGAGCGTGATAACGCATGGAATGTTATTCTTTTTGTAATGTTTAGAATGCTAAATAAAATAATTCGTTGTTAATTAAAAAGGTTTTCTCTGCTAAATATATTACCATTCGTCCGAAATTATTAAATAAGTCAAGAAATTGATTAATTTCAAACAGGGTTAATTATCCATTATTTACTCCAGAATTACTAGATTAACAGTTGGTCCCTTTCTTAGGGCATACAGCAAAGCTTCCACTTGGACTCAAACTCAAAATGTAAAAAATACGAACTAACTAATGACTAACTAAAGAGATTTAGCCCAAGCTAACACAATTCTAAACTAGTTGGCCAGCAATATTAAATTAGGCAGCGAACTACCAAAAGGCACGTAATACGGCCGAGCTTAACAACAGCTTACAGAGACGTAGCCCAAAGGCAAACCCGCGCTACTCAGGAATCCTAACTTTCTCTCTGTCGTAGTCAGTGAAACTTGACTTAAATACCATTCTCCTTCTCATTTGCATTCAACACGATTCTAAAAACTCATTCTGGAGTTGTAAGTTAGAGCTAGGTAAGATAGGAAAGATGCATTAAATTAAAATAACTGATATAAAATTAAAATATACCTTACAAAGTATCTGACCTTTTTTAGAAAACGACGCAGTATAGTCCTGTTGGATAGATATTTTTGAATAATGATACAGATGCTCATCTGTCTGAGGTCCTGAAGTACGGCAAGACACCAGAGAGAATTAACATTTTTTTCTTTTTAGTAAGACAAAGTACAGCAGAATTAAGATTTTGTGATTCATTGTATTGTATTTATGACTAAAATTCCATAGGCGGGGTAAGTTGGCACCAAACTATTTTGGCCTTCAAATTTGGCGAAATTTTTAGGTGCACTAAATGAAAGCACTAAAATGTGATTTTTAAACGTAAACAGAATAGTAACTTTTAAGTTTTGCAGTAGTGAAACACCGTTATTTTATGTAAACAGAATAGTAAATATAACTTCATAACTACTCGATCGCGTGGGGAAAACTTACATAATCTTTTCTTTTCAGTTCACTTCGTTACGTGCATGCAAGCGAAAAACTGAATTCGAGGTGGAAACATCAGGCATCGCAACAATACTGTCCTCAAGATTTCCCTTACAGCACGGGTTGTAGAATGATTTCGCATGAATTTGTACCGATTCCCACTGATTATTTAAAATTTATGAAAGTGGTGCCTTATTCTTCCAGCAATGGCTTTTAAAAGATTCGAAAATAACTATGGATTTAATATGAAAAAACACTTTAATTGCAGATATTTCCAAAAAATTTAGAAGCAGTTATTCTTACAGAAACAAACTTAATTTTTAAAACATAAAACTTAAACAGAGTTGAGTTGTAGCTGGTATTACTCAAACAAACTCCCACCTTGCAATTTGTAGGATACCTATAAATTGCAACAAAAGTTATAAATCAAGTCTATTGGGAATTTTAGCACGTCGGCCAATTGCTTTTTTTCCGAAACTGCTTTATCAATTTGGGTACCAATTTTAATAAATTTGGCTCCTTTTCTAAACAATTATTCAAGGAATTTCCTTTGGAATCTTACATCGACGCATCAAAAACTGGACAAATTTTTGTTGTTGTTACACCAGTTTTTATCACAGAATGATGTGGTAAATAGTGTCCCTTTTTCTCATCTTTATCTACAATTTCAATAATTCCATCCCGAACCCACTCATTAAACACATCATCACATTCTCTTAAATGTCCAGATCGTATGAGATTTTTGGTAGTTGACATTAACCGTTTAGTGGCTAATTCCTTATTCATTCCTAATTCTGGACGTCCACTTTTCCACGGCAAACATACTTCATATCTTTTGTCTTCGTTTCTTTTAATAGTTTTACAGAAAAAAATCTACCGTTTCTTCATCGGTTACCTGCTTTGACTTTACTTCTGCAGGACATCTTATACCGATGACATCTAGGCTCCATAATTCCGTCAAATCCAAATTATTAGCATATACAATACTCTCCAAAGATTTTTGGGTAGTTTCTTTACCTTGAAGCGTCCATCCAAGTTTTCTTTTAATAGCTACCAAATTATTATCAATGCACTCAATTCTCCCAGTCAATAATGAGCCAAGATAATCAGCTTCTATTAATAAACCTATTTCAGGCACATATTCTCCTGTATCACTTAAGCGTATATTTTTCCTTTTCAAAATTGGATAAATATCAGGATCCTCTACACGTGGAATCGCACCACATATCTTCTTTTCGTCCAAAACTGAAATAGTGTACTTGAAATTTGAACACAAGCTTTGTAATGTAATATTGTAGACATTATGGGACTCTTGTTTAGTTTCACTGCCCCCAAAAAGTCCATGACTCATCATTTCTTGATCTACAAGTTTCAATCCTAGTTTCTCCGCAATATCTTTTCGTATGAAAGATCTCTGAGCACCAGTATCAAATAATCCACGAACGATTCCGGACTTGTCACCATTGATGATTTTCACCAATACAGTTAACAATAACGTTGGAGATTTTTTTGGTGACAAAAGAACCTGTGCATCCGATTCAGATTGTTTGTCTACTGCAAACATTAAGAGCCTGGTAAGTGGAAATAACTTTGAATAGTAAAGAGGAAACATATTTAATTAGAAATGGGAAAAGGTCCAGATCAGAGCCAAACAGTAGCACCTTAATAAGCTAGGATGAACAAAATGGCTAAACTGTTCAATTAAAATGTTATGCAATGTGTAGAACAATCTTACCATTTCAGACAACTTCTTGAGACTTAAGACTCTAAATAAAGCAAAGAAACTAAAGGCAGACATGCAAGGTCTAGAAAAGCTTAGTCCCCTACTTCCAGTGAAAGATGAAAAGGTTCAGATTAAAATAAACTAAAAAATGGCACTCATAGGATATGAAAATACTTATAATTAATGAACTAATAAATTTCTGATATTTTCAAAACTAAAGATGTTTTTAATGTACTCTACTTTTTTATAAAAAAATATGTTTGATGATTTTGGACAAACTTGTAAATGAATTAAAATCATTTCAAAGTAACCTAATGGAAACAGTGTCCCATTTAATGAACAATTTGATAATGCCATCATGAAATGGTTTATTATAAAATGCATCACTACACATGATATGTGGCTGTTTCTTCTTGAATGTAATTTTAAGCCCCAAAAATGTTGTATGAAGTTACTCTGCACAGGAAGAACTTTTCTCTATTTTGCAAGAAGACAATGTCATTTCCCGCCAACAGCTTTTTAATAAAATTGTTCATTTTAAAAAATGAATTAAATTAAATATTTTATGAACCATAACACTGAAATTTACATCAATACAAGCAGTTCATTCAGTATTAGACACGGAAGGAGAATCCAAGTCACCACATTTCTTTTCAGTTTCCTCACCTTTGTATTGCAATAGAAATCAAAGTATTCTAGACAGATAATAACAGGCTAACTATGCTATGATTTGCTTTTTAAGGTAATATTTATGCTCAAATAAAGAGAATTTTAACAATATTTTGTATTTAATATTATATGTTGAAGAATTAAAAGTTTTGTTTAAAAACTACATAAAAATTCTAAATTAATTTTTAAATATAGAAATTGCTATTAGAACTGGGGAAGGGAGAAAAAACCTGAGGCTATGCAACACTGCATAATCAAAAGCCATAGATGAACAAATATCTCATTCTATCTCAATGTGATTGGTATTATTAATAATGCTTTGTCATCACACTGTCAACAAAATATATAAAAATATTTCTGAACTGATGTAGTAAAATAGTATATATTCTTCATTTGAGTGTTTACACAGTTAAATAAATTATTTGTGATGTATTATATAGTGGTGCTTTAGAGCAAACATTTTTCAGAACAAATCACATAACAGCTGAAGAATACCTGGCATAAAATTTCTTACTGAATTTGCTAGGCATATGCATAAAAACTGCACATAAATGCCATTACAAATTATTAAGAGCTAAACATGGAATTAACTTTGTTTTACTTTCTGTTTAGGTGACACATGAATTCAGAAAATGAAGGAAAGGCAAAATGAACCGAGCACAGAAAATGCATCTGTGCATAAACAAAGAAAAAGAGAAGCAAGCAAAACATTTCTTAATAGAGTGAAACTTCTCTCAGCAACCATTTGTTAAATGACCCATACTACTCAGAATATAAATAGACATCAGTATTGTTAATCACAATAACATTTTCTCAGGCAGTATCTTGAACCCAAATAAAGCTGCAAACTACACAGTATAGCAACCACCAAAATGTTACAGTAATTTACATGCTACACAAATCATTACAGTTATATTTCTAGTTCTTAATGTAACAGTAAAGTAGCTGAGAGTGAAATCAATGCATTTTGTTTGCTTCTTTAATTTAGTATTACAAAGCATATAAGAGCTACCTATTCAGTAATATGAAATTTATCACATAAACTTGCTTAGATTTTAAGTTTTCTTTTAATAATTTTTTACATTTCTACAATCTTTATGCTAATTTTTTCCTTTCCTGCTGGAGAAGATATTATTTTATGTTAAATGAAAGTTGACATGGTTCAAAAATAGTTTATTATTATTTATTTATTCATCATCATTATTTTTAATGTTACTGTTAAATAAGTTGCACTGCTTTTGAAGTAGACAGTTCCTCTCTATACATGTTTTATTTGTTTATCTTTTAGTTTCAACTTAATCTTAAGCATTTGCCCTTAAAATATCTGCAAATCAAAATATAAATGTTTCAACTTTGGTACAAATTTTAGTAAAAGTTAATGAAGATATATATGGCAGTGTGTTTCAAAGGACACTGAAAGTCTTGAATGCATGACTATTTTAATAAATGAATGTTTTTAAAATTACCAGACAAAATTCAAAACAGAAGGTTTTTAGTTTTACACAAGCTTTTTACATGGACAATCTCTTTTCTGCATTTTAAAATAATACTTTCTTCTCTCTGTATTTTAGAAAACTGAATGCAAAGTAATTCAATATTTTTTTATTGATTTACTCATCTTTGTTTAAGAATTCACTATTTATTTTGGTAATTTAATTTGTAAATTTATTAATAATAAACCAACATACCCCACCTCTACTTCAGTATTATTCAGACTCAAAAGCCCTTGAATAGGATTAATTCATTATGGAAATTGTTAAGCAACACCAGTAACTGAAAGTCATATGCCAAAAATTATAGATGTAAGAAAGGAAGTGAATGGCACTGAGTTTTTTTTTTTTTTTTTTTAGTCCCATGGAAGACTCATGAAACTGCACCTGAAAAACTATAAATTGTGCACGTATTCATTCATAATTCACACAACTATTTTAAATAATTAATAAATTAGTAAATTTCTGGCATTTCTAATACTGATGGTGTTTTTAATACTCTGCAAAAATATTTCAGTGTGTTAACATTTTGGATCAGCTTAGAATTCATTAAAATTACCTATAGAAAACAGCATTCCACATGATGACCATCATTCTAAATAGATTGCACTACTGTACTCAGTATTTTTTAAAAAATTCTAATTTGAATTAATTTTTTTTTAAAAGACCAAAATTTGGCTTCACTTTTTATATGATTAACGTTCATAAAAATGTTTTAAAATAATAATAAACATTCGATACAAAATTCGTGCATTAAGCTTTATTCAGCAAAAAAAGTATCAAAATGAATTTGGCTAAACAGCATGACCAAAGCATGCACAATTCAGGAATTTAATTATAAAGGTACAAAATTTTCTAAAATTCTGGTGAAATGTACAACCAGGAACTATAAAAACAGTCTCAATATATTCTCATTCAAAATATATGGCATATTAAAATTCAATTAAAAAAGCTATAATAAACTGACAGTTACTTGTATAACCACTTATATAAAGGCAGTCAACATTTTAAAAGGCACTAATATTATCATATCTTGCACATTGTAAAAAGATAAATTTTCTATAAAAATACATTTATAGTTCATATTACAAACTGAATTACAAAAAGAATTATTTAAAATACTTTAGCATTTAATCCCCTTTAGCTATAATAAAATTTTTAAAAATTGATAAATTATTCACAACTGCTATATTTACATTAAAAGATATTACAAAAGGACACAGTTTCTTACTGTTATTTGAAAGATGAAATGGAATATAACCTTGAGCAATAACATATAATACATACAATACAAACAAGTCACAATAATGATTGTAATGGTAAAGTTAGAAATACTGAATTCATTCAGAAAAACATTAAATTTATCACATCAGTAACACAGGAGCAAACTGCAGTACTAATATAGTCTACAGTGCTTCAAAATCATGAACAAAAAAGAAGGGGAATAATACTTCCTACAACATAGAATCTTGAGCCTGTTCTTTCAATATCACAAAAGGTGACTATATATATATACACACATATAAAAATTTTAGATGTTGAGTAACAAAACATATACATATATATGTCTGTTATACTGATTGTAAAATGAAAGACATTCAGCATATTATATGTCCAACAAGATAAAACTGAAAAGAAATATAGTCACCTCTTCAGATATATCCATTCATTATGGAAACTGTGTCATATATTTAAATAATACCTCCAATGGCTCAGCTGCTTAGCAATCTAGAAGCAATTTCAATAATATATTTAATCTCAATAATAATGTCTCTAGGCATTTAAATTCCTAAAAAGTTAAATCACAATGAAAGAACACATTAATGACTCTTCTTTCTTCATGCTGTATACTGCTTCTGAAAACAGAAAGAAAAATTTATTGCACATATATGTAAGATAAAATTCTATGTTTAATTTTTAATTAGCTCCTTAGGTCTTCTTTCTAATTTAATTACTTCCTCTTTATAGTCTAAAGCAGAGCTTAATTTCTAAACTTAGAAGTGCTAGAGCCCTATGGAAGACTGTTACGAAGGAAGGAAACAATAAATAAATAAAAAAAAAATTATTAAGTAATTAAATTAAAATTAAAGGAAATGTAAAGAGACAAATAGAAATTTAATAAATTAATTATAAATATCAAATAAAAATAAATTATCAGACCTCATCTTATTTCTGGCTTTGACTGACATTAAAATTCCACTCAAAAGCTAAGAAGTACCTTATCCGATCTCTACTTGAATTTAAGTCGATTATATATATTATGCACTATGTCAAGGATTGACAGAATGCAAAAACAATTCTTTTTCAGTACACCAATGAAAAATGATAAAATGATTAAAACGTCAGAAAGGAGAACTCTAAGAACAGTATCAGGATATGGGAGAAAAATTTAACAGAAAAATGTAGCTTTGAAAATGAAGAGAGAAGAGTTCAACACTTTCTTATTGTGCCCTGTCGATATAATTCTAGCCGCTAAGAAGAAACTTTCCCTGAATATGATCCAATAATAATGTGAGAATAAACGTAAGACTTCTCTATGCAGGTGAAAATAGTGGTCCTCCTCGAGTGGTTATATCGTTCAAAAAGTAAAAGGAGCTCTGTAGTAAGAGTTACTAGCATAGCACATGCACGATGAGGGTGGTGCCTTTTAGCCCTTTCAGAAACGAAAAATTAACCTGCTCTCATAAATTCATTGAAATTCCTGGAAAATAAGCCTTTGGTATGTGTGGGTGAGGACTCTTCATTCCTCAAAAACCTCAACCTCTGTCTAAGGGTTGCATCCGAGGGAAAGACAGGCCTGTATTTCGTAAGTTAGAATCGATATTTAAAGCATATTTATTATTAAAAAATTTTTTTGGCCGAATATTCATTTAACTTACATAAAAGAAGTGCCAGAACCCTTTTATTTAGAGCTCCAGCTAAAATTATCGTTTATCTCAAAAATTGAGAAGTACCAAAGCCGGGCTCCAGAACAATTTAAGCTTTGGTCTAAAAGTAATGAATGATATGCTTAAAATAGGATCTTAGAAAATAGCATCACTTCACAATGGATCCCTGTCACATCATTCTTATATAATGCTCGTGATGCATATATTTACATACTGATAAAAATGAAATTCAAATATTTTAATTGATTTTAATATTTACACACCAAAACCATAACTAACCAATAAAAATACAGCAGAACCATACCTTTAATACCCTAATTAAGTCTAATTTAATACCATAATCTATGCATTCTTTTTGGCCTCTCTATCCACTTACATTTGTGGTACCGACAACTACATTTGTGCTAATACAGTTGAAAGTCTGAAATCTGGACATCCAGAATGGTCTAAAATCTGGACTACAGCAACCTCTTTTTCTGTATGCTTAATCCATATGCATTTCATGTTTTTTCATAAAAAAACATGTCGAGAGTCCCGATTCTCTTAAATTCACTTTAGCACTACATAATATACCTCCATATTGAAGAAATAATTATTTACTCACATAATTTAAATAAGTCACATAAGTTTATTCAAATATATCTATATGATCAATAAAAATTTGGCTCTGTAGCCTACCTTTTCACAAGGCCATGCATCTCAAGCCATAACCATATACATACATTGTAGATTTTATGAATACTAAAAAATTTACATCCCTAATGCCAACCAAGTGAATCATTATTTATTATTTTTTGCTTTCATCACTGCATAACTATAAATATATGGCAGCTTGAGAAAAAAAAAAAAAAAATTATGAATAATTGAATAAAGACAAAATGGTAACCTTTTATGTTGACATTACCATTGGCAATGATTAAAGACTTCAGCTAACTACACTGTGAAGTATTGAAGAGGAGTAATTTAACAGAAATTTCTTTTCATATGCAAAAAAGAAATTTTGTAAGTGATACTCATAGGACAAAAGATTACATTTTGTGCTGTTTAAATTGAGAAAAATTGATTTGTTATTTCAATAAGGGCAGGACCAGTAGCAGAGACAGTACGGCTGCATCGGGTAGCAGAATTTAAAGGACAACGAAATTTAGGATCCACGGAGACTGCACAAAACCATAAAATGTCCAGCCCTGGCTCTAAATAAGCCTAAAAGTATATGTTAGAATTTATTTATTTGGTATTTGGGACTCAGATAAGCATATGTTGGAAATACAAGTAAGTATAATAAATAATTAACTAATATAATTCAGGCTTAATTTCTTCAGTGTGTGATAGAAGAAAGACAAAATTTAGTGGAACACTGTGATTTTAGTTTCCAATCTCATGATACACTGTCAATAGTATATAGTGGACATTAGCTAAGCTTTATGGCCATATTTTAGCTATGAAGAATACAATACTATTGGAAATAAGGTTAGTTAGAATGCCTAGCAAAGTTAAGAATGTGATATCACTATTGTACATGAAAGTTGATGAGCTGAAATTCATCATGAAAAGCCCTTCATGATGAGTTGAAATTCCACAAAATGCGTGGAAGATATGTTTCAAGTGCTTGAAATGGAAAAAAAAAAGAAGCATCGATGTTTATTAAGAACTTCTTCATCAGTATGAGAGTGATGATGAAGCAATCTGCAATATAACATCACTGGAGATAACAGCTAGGTGCAATTTTGTCTGGAATGAAATTCTGATATGATAAGGCTAGATTAGCAGTGTATGTGGAGCTGCGCAGCAGTCAAAATTCATTTCATGCATTATCTACACACTTATCAAGCATTAGTATAAATGTACTGAAATAGATGAGGGTAATGTTGCTTACTAATATTACCGTTGTTTCAATGTTGGCAATAAATATTACTCTCTAAACTAAAAAATCAAGTTTTTTGCTGAATGCAGTAACAATACTTTAAACATTTATGACACAACAAAATGAATTTATAATTTCAAAAATAATTATCTTACTTAATAAATGATGCATCAACAGTTATTGTACAAATACGTTTCTATGTATGATGTAGGAACAAATCCTTCTTCAAAATTGCGTTTCCGGACGCGCGTCCACCCATCACCTTGATCAAGTTCAACAATATCAAATTCTTCACCTTCACACACATCAATGGAGCCTTCACTTTGTCCTTTTTAAGATAAAATAATTAATAAATATGAAACTACACTTCAAATATTCTACTGACTTAGAAAGACACATGAAAACAGTAAATATTGCAGGCATTGAACGTTATACATGCTGTTTAAATGAGGTGTTTAAGGAAGATATATAATTTGTATGTAATTTTTAATAACACACTTCCTAAAAATGTAAAAATTCATGCAATAATTTTTTAAAAAATAAACAGCATCATTTTATGAAAACACAGTCAGCATTTTGAATCAGGCTACAAAAATTAAATATAATTTTTATTATACAATAAATATTTCGCTTTCTTTATGCACAAGAGATTAGCAGAGATATTTGAGAATGAAATCATGGACCTTTTTATATATAACTACCTAATACAAGATTTTTCATGGATAACAAAAGAACTAGAAAATGAAAGCTATCCATTTTGGATATGAATCTTTTTATGTAAAACAGCATACTCAAAAAATCTGCAGATGGCTCTTTTCCTTTTGATGAATATTTTTATTACATATTTTGTCAATTTTGTATATGAGATTAGCACTTTTGAAGAAATTAAAACATAAGTAATAGTTTATTATCTAAAATTTTACTCTAATGGGGAATATATAAGACATCATTGTTATTACCTTTCCCCTTTTTAGATAGAACTTTTTCAAGGCACTGTGATAAGACTTTTTATAAAATCAAAAATTTCATTTTAAAACTTTATAATCTATATCTAGGGTTAATAACTCAGGAAATAAAGTTATTGCCCATTACCATTAATTGGACACCAGCTTTAATGTAAGTAATTTATTTTATTATGATTTATAAAAAGAATAATTAGCCACACAGCTTCACAAAAGAATTCCTAAATTCATGTTTATAATATATCTGTAACAAAGCTGCAAAAAAAGATAGGTGCAATTTCGTTTGGAATGAAATGCTGATATGATAAGTGGTTAGTGATTGCTTCACAGCTCCTCATGCACCGCTAATATAGTGGTGCTGGTGCATGAGATGTGCAGCAGTCAGTACTTTGCAGGGTTCATAGCCACATTTTAGTTAAAAAAATAAGCACCTATAAGCACTTTTCAAGCACATTTTAAGGAAAAAATAAGCACCTGTCTAATTACATTATACACAACTGCATAACCTTAAAAGAAAAATTAGACTTGTAATTTAAAATATGAGCAATGCAATATTTATTAAGAGAATGAGCATTCAACAATGGAAAACAATTAACTTTTTTAAAAAAATTTAAATGACAGTTCAATTTACAGAATTAGTTTACAATGAGAGGGAAAAAACTTTGCAGAACTAAATTATATTACAAAATTTAATGATGATATTTCAGTTGAAAATATAGAAAATAAATAATAATAAGCCATATTTATTGTATTCGTTTGGCACCTAATAATAAATACAATTTATTTTTCCACTCATATTAATATTTAAATAATTTAACTTAAATCAAAATTCTGAACATTTTCTAAATTTTCATTGCATGACAGTTTTTTCTTAACATATATCCCAAGCAAAGTAATTTAAGTAAAAAAGAGGCACATTTCTGAAATCAGAAGACGGGAAATTGCTTCATTCAGTCATCCTTTAGCAGCAAAAGCTTAACTAACCAGCATACTCGGAAATTCCCGAATTTTCCTGTTAGTAACTGGAAAAAGAGGAGTGGGGGAGATTGTAGCCGTTCTTTAGATTTAAATTTAGGCTAAATAAATGATTTTGACATTTCGATATGTGCATCATATAAAAACCAATGGAACTGAGAAATATTCTGCTTAGAAAGCACAGTAAAACTCTTTTAAGTGTTCATAAACAAATCTCAGACTGAACATCAAAATTAATTAATTATCAATGCAAAATACCCCAAACGTTATTGCGCAATACGTGCTAATTCTTCCATATGTGATATTACGCAATCGGAATCAACACCTGCCGGTATTCGGAGAAAGAAGAACTAAATAAAGGAAAAAAAAGAGACCAATCTGGGGTGTTTCTGATTCTAATTTTCAACAGACTGCATTAAATTTCCGGAATAGAATCAATCTTCACTTAGGTTGGGTAGACCACAAAAACTTTAGTCCTATTCAATCCAGATTGGACAGTGACAAAAAAAAAAAAAAAAAAAAAAAAAAAAAAAAAAAGGTACGCTGCTTCAATATTAGAGATTTTTCGGAGAAAGGGGAGAACCTCCCAACTTCCGTACTGTATAATGTATTGGGGAGAGGAAAAAAAAAAAAAAAAAAAAAAAAAAAAAAAAATTAATTTGACTATTCGGTTACTTTCCTTTTATTTAAGCCATTCCGAATATTATTCCTTAGAAAGCTAATCTGTGTAAAAACACACCCATTTTTGGAAGTTTATCTATACTTCAGCAGTTATTGCAACTATATTATTATAAACATTCATTCATATGCTCATAATATAAGCATAACGATCATAATAAACACGAATATGAACTGACCACGCAGAACGAGAATGCAAATTATTAAAATCTTGATAGAAATTCAAACGTGTGTAGTATTTGGGTGGGAGGAAAAGAATACCGAATGTACTGGGATTTTCTACCGTTTTCGCAATTCTTTGACCAACAGAACGACGTGCACCTGTCTGTACTCTCGCGCGCACCATACGTTAATGCAGAGAAAGGGGGAAAAGCAATTTCCAGGTGTATGATTCACCATTTAATGTTGCATATAAGGAAGAAAAGTTGTTTATTAAGTTTCGGCTTTGGTACCGTGAAAAAAAATGCGCATTCATTAAAAAACAAAGGATTTAAAAAAAAAAAAAAAAAAAAAAAAAAAAAAAAAAAAAAAAGCACAAGCAAAAAATAAGCACTAAAAACAAAAAAATAAGGGCTTTAAAGAAAAAGTAAAGCACCTATAAGGGCCTTTATATTTTATTTTCAAATATAAGGACTTATAAGCACTTGTAAGGACCGCTACGAACCCTGGTACTTTGTTTACTTCATATACAATACAATATAAGCTACATCTGTTGCAATATTTCGAGCTGAACACATGAAAAACCTACTAATGTTCAGTGGTTTCATTGATTTGGAATCTCATAATAAGCTCTATCACACAGAAAAGAATACTTCAGTTTTTTCCAGATGTATTAAAACATTTCATAACATGGAATATAAATTATTTAATTATCATTTGCTGTCAAGAAATGAGACTTTACTAGCTGTTACAAAAAGATAAGCATGTAGAAACTTTACCATATCACAAAGAATTCATGTAACTAAAAACTATAATCCCAAGAATAATTTTGTTAATGATAATTTATAAATTTTAAATGAATATATCTTCAGGTATATTCACAACCAAGCCAGAAATTCACTGAAATAAAATTGCAAAATGTATTTAGTATCTAAAAAGAATTAAAGTGATAGAATTTAAACTTGATCTTCTAGTAAAATATTCATAATAAAGAAGACATTTAACCTATTATTTTTTAAATTTTAATTAATCAAAGTACATGATGAGCACATAATTTATAATTTCATGGAAAAGACACAATAGTTCAGAAGAGTATATTCTAATTTTGGATATTCCAGTAATCAATCCCCAAATAATATTCAGCTCAATAATTAATTTCAAATAAGAAAGAATTGCCGTCATGCAATATTTTATTTTCCAAATGAAAGTATTTCATGAGAGTAGTTTTAATCTTCTACAATTTTTCATGCGGAATAAATTTACAGTTTGGCTGCTTTCTTCAGTTCCAATATTCTTCAAAAATGAAACTTAACTTGTGCTTTATTAAAACTATATAATTATTCTTCTTTTTTTCCTTTCCCTTTTTTAAAGAGCTACATTTTAAATAGTTTATGAACTATTTCATTGCACAATCAAGATATACATTTTATTACACTAATCAATTATTAACTATTGTTGGCGCATTTTTACGCCAACGAATTATGCCAAATCATCGCCTCCTACAATTGAGGCAGCAGACTTAAAAAAAAAGAAAGCTAACAAGTTTTGACGTGAGCAATTACTTGTAACCAAAGCTCAAAATTAAATTGTATTTTGCTTCACTGTAAATATTAGTATATGATGTGATGTTTTCTAAATAAAAATAAAATAATAATAATAATAATAATAATAATAATAATAATAATAATAATTAAAAAAAAAAAAAAATAAAAAAAGAAAGAAAAGAAGAACAGTGAAGCTGGTTTGTCACTAAAGTTTATTCAACTATAGTATATTTCAATTATATTATTTTTCAAAATTTCAACAGTACAATTCAATAATTTTCAATAACCATAGGAATATTTTTCAAACTGTAAAAAAATCATTTCTTTTTCTATTACTATTATAGTTTAAAACTAGTTTGTAAGAAGTGTTCCTTCTCTAGGATTTTCTTCTGTATTGAAATTCCGTAGCTAAACAATTAAAATGCATTAAATTGGAAACATGTTATGTTTTACAATGCAGATTTAGCTGGTAATATTAAGGGTAGCTTTGTTTACTAAACATAAACCTATTTGAAAAGTTTTTTTATGAATAAAAATGAAGTATCTGAGGTTGAAAGGTTTCATTTTATCAACATCTAAAAAGATATCAACTATAACTATTATTTTCTCATTTCAGCACAGCAAATTATGTTGGATACAACCAATATACAAGAAAATGAATCTTTAATAAATGATAGTATGTTTATAAAGTTTTTTATCTCTTCATATTTATGTAAAAATGAATACAGGTACATACACTTTGAAAAATATAAGTGCAAAGACTACCAAAGCATTAAAAAAAAATTTACCTGTAAATGGATACAAGGCTTTTCCAGTCCCTAGTACTGCATCGAATTCATCATTATACTCATATTCATGCTCAAATTCTGGATCAGGATAACAATCGACATCATCAGTAATGCTTGGTTGGCTTGTTCCAATACCGCTCTCAGGGCTGTTAGAAAACCTAAGTATTATGCCACTCATTATTTTAAAAAGTACATAACACAATTCCGTGCAAGCAAAAAGTTAAAGTTTTTTTTTTTTTCCAGAGTTTAATGTTACAAATCAATTCAATTTTCCACAATATATCAGTAAAAATCATTTCCTATCAAAGATGAGCTGTCCTGACAGGTCATTATGTATTCTCCTGATAGGTAACAAATAGGGTCTCGAAAATATAATGCAAGACATAAATGCTAGGGCAGGAATGGTCCACAAGCCAATCGCAAAGCAATTTTGTATTCATCATGGCCAACAGAAGACAATTTCAACATGGAAATAGAACTTAGTCATGACTGATAGAAACAGATGGTTGTGGCTACTTCAGTATTATAGTGGTAACACTGCATTAGCATTCTAGAAAAAGAGGTCAATATTTCTTAACACTACTTTAGTGCAAAAATTCCCGATAGAGTGTTAGAGGTTGCCATACAAATTTTTATATTCACCATATTATTTTTTAAAACTAGCTGCTCAAGCAGCCAGCTAAAACCCCCTAAAAAAGTTTTCAAATTTTAATGATCACCCAAAAGGGTTTATTAAGGTTTTTTACACTCTTGTTGCAGTCTACTAGTCCGTTCGTGTACTCACTCCTGCTAACCTTTTTATTCTTTATAACTTTATTATTAAACATTGTTTTCTTCCCACTTATGCCACAAACAGTTCAACAATAAAATCACAAAATTCTTTAAAGCCGAAGAGTAGCAAATGTTTAAAATTCCCAATGCAATGTCAAATTTGGCATACATTTTAGTATTTTTTTCAGTCTTTTTTCAATTCATTATAACAATATTCAGTTTTCTAAGTATGATGGCTAACCAAAAGATTTGTCTTTTTATGTGTTAAATTATTCTTTGCACTTATGCCATAAAAAAAAAAAAAAAAAAGGGGAGTTCCCAACAGACAATATTGCATACTGGAGATAAAAATGTTTTATTCTGTACAGTGTTGCACTGCTCAGTTTCAAATTGTTGAGTTTGTTAATCAAAAATTCATTACAATTTTACAATACAAAATAAAGAATAAAAGAAATTAAAAATTGGACTTCCAAATGCACATGTATGGGTGGAGGACTATGTTATTCAAAATGCTTTCACATTTGCACCCCATAAAATTCAATTCAATAGTAAAATCACAAAATATTTAATAACAGCATATCTTTAAAATTCCCGATAGAGTGTTAGAGGTTGCCATAAAAATTTTTATATTCGCCATATTATTTTTTAAAACTAGCTGCTCAAGCTGCCAGCCACCTAAAATAGTTATCATTAAAGGGAAAGTATATAATGATTTTAATGACTTCATCTAGTGCAATTTAATAAAAATATTGAATATTTCTAATAAAACATATCATGATTTTAATATGTTTATTGAAATTTGTCACATTAAAAACGTAGGAAAAAATATTAAGAATGATTTTTATTGCTTTTAAATCACTTAACTTCTTACTCAATAACCTCCCAGATTTAATTGGATAGCACCTTAGGCTTCCCTGAATGGCAACAAGCTGAAACATGGAATATAAAAGTTCATTAAAGTTTTACAAAATATAAAATAAATAAAAAAAGAAATTAAAAATTCATTCTTACAGGTGCACATGTTTAAGTGGGGGACTACATTATTCAAAATTTGATTACTCTTGTTCTGATGTTACTGTGCAGCAAGTGAGATAAGTTACAACAACAGATTCTTCATTATTTAATTTCTTTAAAAAATAATACCTAGTGATAATACTTAGTGGCAACAATTTGAAAAGTGATATGCCATTTTATAGTTAAACGATGCAAAATCCCATTTCGAGGATCATAACCCCTTTTGGGCTGAAAATGACTTCGAATTTTTATGAAAAATGGGAATTTGATTATTTTCTTTCAATGATGAGTGATAAATGTTTTTGCTTAATATGGAAAGCCACTGTAGTTGTTACTAAAGAAGGTAATTACTAAAAAAGGTAACTATATGAATTATTTAATGATGGGAACAACCAAAACAAACTTAAAAACAAAAATCACAAGCTTGAGCATGTCAACAATATGCAGTGCCTATGTAAACAATGGACGATGCATATCTGAGTATCAAAGAGAGGGGGAAGAGGAGAAGAAACCTGCCCCCATTAACAAGTTCAGTTCAATACAAAATCAATGTCAGTACAGTTTTTCAAGTTTGAAGATGGGAAAGGATTTTTGAAAGTTTTTCTTTTTTTAAAACTAGGATTCATATTCTAAGAGGTTTGTTAAAGTAATATCTGCTGTGCATAATGCCATATGCCATACACTGCTATTGTCTTTTTTCAGATACATCATCCTTGACACACTTCACAATTCTTGGGGGGGGGGATACTGAAATGTGAATATGTGAAACATATTTTATTAACCATTTCATTAAATTATATGAATTCATATTCCTGTTTGAGAGTATGATTCAAATTTATTCTTGTAGCCTGTTATATACATTAAAAAAAAATTCTGAAGCATTGCTCTTCACCACATATTATATTCAGATTAAAACAAAATTACACAAGTCCCAATTTCTATAATTTTTATATTTTTAGTTTTAATCAAACTCTAGCTTATTCACATGCAGTCACTTTGATTTTTGAGATGAAGTTACCCCCTTACTGAGGTGCAGATGCATTCTCCTAAAGTCAATCTTATTATATTTGGAGAATTTATGTTAGGCTATATAGGGTGTATCAGTACAGCATCGGCAAAATTTCAGGAGAGATAGCGTACACCTAGATGATGAGAAATCATACAGGAATGCAGGTCGGAAACGCTTTCCTGGTGCGGTACTGACGACACAAAAATCAAGAAAGGACACAAATGGGGTGAGAAAACATGTTTATTACTCGTAGTACAACAAAAACAAAGAAAAAAACAACATAAAGAGACAATGATCATCATCAAAGAATGTGTTCGAAATTACGAGCCAGACTGTGATGCAGGAACTGCGTCATGCATCTCCCAGTCATGATTCATATCTTCCATGCGGAAATGCGAAGCCTGCATCATGGTCTAGGCTCGTAATTTCAAACACTTTCTTTAATGACGATCGATAGTTTGTTTTTGTTTTTATTTGTAGATTTCTGCTGTACTAAACATAATAAAACATGTTTTGTCTCAGTGTTAGTATCCTTCCTTTGTTCCTTTTTGTGTCGTCACTACCACGACAGGAAAACATTTCCGACCATGCATTGCTATGTGATTTTCCATCGTCTAGGTGTACTCTATCTCTCCCGAAAGTTTATCAACTGATACACCCTGTATAAGTTTATTCAATGAAACAAGAATAGATCTAACCGTAATTTTTTTTCAATATTTTACAAAACTGTTACGGACATTTAACATACTATACCAGCCCAACAGAAGGGTTTTTTTTTTTTTTTTTCAGATTTTCAAACAATACAGACCTTTTTGCAATGTTTTATTCACTTTCGTTTTTTAGATAACTTAATTAACATTTATTGAACATATATAGAATATAAAGAAGAAGAAGAATTCAAGATGCTTCTTGATCAGACCAGCAGCTGTTTATGAACCGACATCAAGCTACATAAAAAATAGTCATGTCATTTAATATCATTTCTCTGTTTTATCCTCACATAATATTGTCTTGGATACTCAATTTTTTAAATTTTACTATCTACTAAATGGCATGTTTTACCGTTAAATATTAGCATAATTATAGAGATTTATTTTGCAACTGCTGTTTCATTTTATATGTATTACAACATAAACTTGGTTTGCATGCATATATGCACCAGAATTGAGCCTTACTCTTTATTAATTTAAAATCACTTTCTGATATTACAATTAACCATAAACATGTAAGGTATGAGGACTTTTAACAAAATACATTTTTTTCACAAGCTGGTAACTTCCACCAAATATTTCATTTCAGGATCAGAATTGTACATTTTTTACACGAGATCATATGCATGTAATAGTGAAGAACATCACATAATACTTCAGATTTAATATTCAGACAGCTGTTCATTTTGAGCAACTACACTGCTTAGAAAAGGAAGTTATTTCTTGTAGATCCTGTATTATTGGACTGATAATATGGAGTATTCAGAAAGTTACTATGCACTTTTAGTTACAACTTCTTTCTACCTTTTGTATTTTCAAGTTACTTCTGTATAGCCTAATTTTAATAAAATGAATATTCCTAGATGCATATACAAAACATATATTTAGTTTATTGAATTTAGGCAAAACGCTTGAAAACTATCAGCTTTATTCCTGCTTCAATCTGGTTGCTCTAAGGGAATTCAAGAATCTCTTATCTCTCTGCCTTACCTACAGAATCTTGAGAGTATTTTTGGTTTGATAGATTTAGAGTAACCTCAAGCTACAAAGACACTATACTCACAAATGTCCATACCTTATCCAGGATCTAAACCTGAATCCAACTTATAAGAATTCTTATGGCCCTATCACTTCTATGGACGTGCGCGCTTACCCGGGACAATTCCGAGAAACGAGATTTTAGTAGCACGGCTTTAAGCGAACATGTCTCGGCTACGAGCAACATTTTAAAACTTGTTCGAAAATATTCCGGCTGGGGACGTGTTTCTCGAACGTTCAACCAATTAGACCAAAGTTTTGCTTCTGAAGGATAACGGGTAACTTTCAATATGGCGATGGCTTTCACTGTGAAGTCATGGACGGTGGAAATAGATGCCGATTTAATTATTGCTGTTTTGTTGTAATACAACTGCCTGAGTCATTTTTTAAATGTGTATATATTCATTAAATATATAATCGTGGAAATTTCAGAGTTGACAGTATTTTACAACATTCTTGCAGTTCGGATTTGTTTACAAATTGTTCGTTGCCAAAAGTTCGCCAAATTTGTCATATTTCGTGCTGATCGTGTATTATCACTGTTACATAATAGAATTTTATCTCTTAAATTTAAGTTGAATAATATTTTAAAATCCGTTTGTATATGCGTGGCTTTTCTCCTAATTACTTATCTTTTAAATTGTTAATTGCATACTCCGTGACACATTTTAAACAGCATAAGATGCATAAAAAAAGAAAAGCATAGCTTATGTAATAATGAGAATACTCATTAAATTTGTCTATTATTTTCATGTTATTAATGAAATAATTTTTGGATTATAAATACATTAGAAACTATACTTTTATTGTAAATGCTACATATTGAAACACTGGAAATTTATGGTTTTATTATTATGCATGATGAAAAACATTTGTATATACATTCATTAATATAAATCTTATTCATTACATTAATACTAATATATATTAACAACTTCTAAACCATCGCATCTCTCTATCTGTATGTAAATATATGACTTATTAGATATGTATATATATGTATGTATGAATACAAAAATGAACATTGACAAGAAGTTTATTTTAAGTTGCTTTTAATTCAGATAACGATATGTAATTGGCAGCAACTATAGTTATCAGTTCTTTGCAAATTATTATGGGTATGTAATAATCAGTTGAAAAATAACTGATGAGTATTTGAGTACTAAAGAGTGTACACATTTTGTTATTGGGTTAATTCATAATTATATCATATGTATTATCTACGTAATAAAAACATGACTACTAAATAATAAGAAATGTAACAGCTGTGCACTTGATTACTTAAAACAGTGCACAACTGATTATCACGTTCATGTCTGTTTACATAATGAATTGCACGGGCCTACTAGTGGCCGAAGCGTAGTTGAACACTGGTAGTTCTGTGTCAGGTTAGAATGCCACGAATGGGCTGGCTACATGACATTTCCTTGGTTTGCCCCATTTGTAACTGGTATACGAGCCAGCTTAAAAAAATCTTCTACAAAGGGATCCCTCCTGTTAGGCAGATATCCCTCGAGGCTTTGCCGTAATCACATAAAATAAACTCATGATGTGCACCACCTAATTTCTAGAGTTGGCATAATTAATGTGTTTTAGGTGTATTACCAAGTGTTCTATGGGACAGTAAACAACTCGCACATGTTTGATTACTCATGTATTCATATGCTTTATCTGATCTTCATTTTGTTGAATAATATCTGCTGGCTGTGAGGATGTAAATATCAGCCATATAGACATTTGTCATAAAAGTTCTTTTTTTTTTTTTTTTTTTTGTCTATGAGCCATAAAGTTAGTCAAGGTCAGAAGGTGGTCACCAGGTCACAAATTTTCCAGTGAGCCATCAAATTTTCATTGCAATGCAGACAACAGAAAATACACATAAATAATGTCTGATAAATAGACTTATCCAGCACATGTTGTAAACTATTTTTTAGTGTATACAGAATTTGGCTATTACTGATGTAATTGATTACTATAACCAGAAGTGTGTTTATCTGTTGCTTGAAGTGCCAGAGTGAAGATCAAAGTGATTAACTTAATAGCAATCACCTTTCTATTATCTTCCATTACTAAAGTTTAAAATGAAAAGTGTGTGAGCGATACAAAACAACACGAAGAAGCAAATGTCACTTGAAAGGAAACGTCACTTTCGCCAATCTGAGCGATAACAGATTCTTGTTTAGCTTTCAGCCTGTTTACCAAGTGAAGATGGTAACCCTATTTCGCCAAAGGGCGTTTCTCAGAACTGTTGCTGCAAACGTTTTGTTCCAGCAACAAATATCGTATGTGATAAGAGTTTTAAACTTTCACCTACAACTAGATATATGAATAGTGACATCAAAGACTCACTATGCTGGGCATGATTTATCTTTACATGACCATAAAATTGTAGTGTGGATGGTACTATTCATATGATGCACTGTTTACCTTTTATTCTTTGAGAGCAAGATAAAGCATGTCATTTATTGTCCAATACTCTGCCTTTTGCAAGAAGGCTATTTTATAGGCCTATGTGCAAATATAGAAATTGTCTATCACTGTTTTTTAAGAAGGCACTACTATGCATACAGCTAACAAACTCTAACTTCCCTCACTCTCCATACTTATTCCATCATACCTTTTTTTTGGGGGGGGAGGGAGGAATAGGAAAATCTGCCATTTGCTGTGACCCTCCACAAATGCTTAATAAACTAAAACTGCTAAAAAATTGCATATCAGGAACATTTCACCAGCAGATCTGTAGAAAAATTTATGCCAATATGAGTGTTTGGGACTATCAGTTTCAATAACATTTATAAAGCATCCATAACAGTTCATGGTTTCTTCACCTAAACCCCATATTTTAATCAATTTAAACAATTACGAATCGAAAAATGAGGGAAAGAAACACTAACCCATGCATTTGCTGTGGAGTATTTGGAGCAGATATTTTGTAATTAATGTTGCCATTGGGATTACACACACTGGAATCTGATGCACTTCGTGAAAGTGAATCTTCAGAAAGACTATTTCTGTGTTCTCGACTTAAACTCAACCCACTTCCATGACCTTCAGCTTCCAACATATAACCCTATGGGAAAAGGAAAAGGGGGAAAAATACATATATAAATTTTGCATCCTTCTTTCATTACTTAAAAAAGAACATCCATACATATTACTTTATACATAAATAATCTAATGATACCGATCTACACACATAATTGCACCTAGCACAGCATGCAGTACCAACTTTTTACACATAAAGAAACTCAAAAATTAAAATGGCATCTATATCACTAACAATTAAACAAACAAATTACAACAAACCTGAAACTTTTGTAGCTCATTTTGTAATTTTTCTAATTTTAAGCCATTGTCTGCTAACTGTCCATCTACAGAAGCAGGATCTCCCATAGCTGAATTTTGTTCATATACTCCTTTCATTTTCATGAGTGCATCTCTGATTTAAAATAAACAGATAAAAATGTTTGTATTCATTTATACATTTATCAGTAGTGTTCAAACAAATCAGTGTTCAACATTCATTTATACATTAATCAGCACTTCAGTTGTACACAATAAAAAAACAAAGCAAATTGGAGAAATAAACTTTCAAAACAATGCATATTCAGAGATTAATATCAGGACAATTTAGTCTACCTGAAAAATTTTTCTTACCTTGCCTGTGTTTCTTGGTGTATTTTAGATTTTATTTCATCTATTTTTTGCTGCAGTTTCTTTTTTCTCTGTTGAGGTGGTAAGTCACTATAGTCCTCCTTTATTTCATCAACGGTGTTCTTAAAAATAATAGTAATAAATAAATAAACAAAAAGTGCTACATTTAAGTCTTTAAAGATCAAACTAAATCTAACCTTTATTTAACTCTTGATTTTTATTTATTTTTGTTGATAAGTAATAAAAGATTATTTCTTCTAGGCATAAATTTTTCACAGATAAAATTATTTCATAATATGATTAGAATAGGTTTTCATTTACAACAATTCACATGATTATTTGCAAAAGCATTACTTTCCTTTCAAACAATCTTAAAAGTTTCTTGAAAATAAATTTATACAGTCAAAAGTCGTTAATCCGGACTCGTCGGGACTTCGGCGATTCCGGATTATCGATTTTTCCGGATTATAGATCATCAGTTTAAATCTGGTAAGATGGCATGCAGAAATTACAAAATTAAAAATATAAAACCGTAATTTATGAAATAAAGAACAATTATGAACTAAAGGGTATCAAAATTTACAAAAAGAGAAAAAGCTTAATATTTATTTGTTTACTTTATTAAACATTTCCTTCAACGTAAGTTGCTTCGTTTCATGTGATAATACTTTCTCTTTAATTCTATTAAACAGACATAATTTCTTGTTTAGTTACAAAGTTCCGCTGTATAAGTCCTATAATTGCTGTGTTGAGAATACCGACTAATTTGTCAATCGAAATATTTTCATTTTCAATAACCTCTGGGTCACTTTTTTCACTATCGGAAGCGAATTATAATGACGAGGAACTTGATTTAAATCATATCAAAGACGGAGATGAAATACTACACTTAGTATGGAATTATAAACCAAATAAAATAAAAACATCTGCCCTGAAGATAAGGATAGTGCTGACAGATCAACTTCCAATTCGCGGCGTGAAATTGATAAACAGATTTCGGATTTCAAAACATACTTTCGCTTTGTAGATACAAATTAGATATTAGTAAATATATATCGGAAATTCTATTTGACATAATCTTTCTAATCTATCATAATTTAATAATGACGTTTCTGCCCCCCTCCCTCTGCCGCAGAGCAGCGTGAAATTGATAAACAGATTTCGGATTTCAAAACATACTTTCGCTTTATAGTAAATATATATCGGAAATTCAATTTGACATAATCGAAAGTTCAAGCTTACTTTTATAAAATTGCTCTAACAGTCTGCAAAAAATAATAAGCCGGATCCAATTCGAAGATTAAGGAACAACGCAATCTGCAACATTAACTGAATTAGATAACTTTAGCTTAGCGTATTACTTCGTTACACATTAAACGCGTATGCGCACAAACATATTCGCAGCCGTAAGTCTTACGCGCTCTCGTAAACGCCTGTGCGCATGCGTAAATGCGACGCATGCGCAGAAAGTTTGTAGCTTTGAGGTCTGGATTATGGGTGTCCGAATTAACGACTTTTGACTGTATTATTGCAGCATGAAACAAATGAAAATAGACTCATGCAAGGCAAAAGCTTTTTTGAGATTACACAACACCTGAACATTGTGAAAACAATTCAGTTACACTGCTTATGAAATTATTTCAGTGGAATAAATTAGAAAGGACACTACCAAATCACCTGCAGATTCTATACCCATTTTCATCCTATTATAGTAAATATTACTCATTTTGTAAAAATTTGTTTTGGTTGTATTTGTATGCATAGATATGATTTCCATTGAGAAACGACACTTCCTTTAATAAAACTAGTTCTACATTTTCCATATTAATAGAATATTCAATTAAATCTTGATATTCATGCATTTTTTTTATATACTATATTTAACATTAATGACTAAAAAGAATAAAGACACAATATTTTAAAATATAAATTAAAATTTTAAAAATTAATTAGTACAGTTATTAATATATAGCCCACAAATACTGAACTCTAAAATAAGATTTAAAACATACAGCAAATCTGCCTAAAAAAAAAAAAAAAGGAGAGAGAAAATAATCAAGATTCAGAGAATGCAAAAACTTCTAGTGAGAACAAGTGGCTACAGCATGAGTCGTTAGTTCACTGCAATTTGTTCTTGCGTTTGCAGTGATCAGTTAACCAACCAGAAACTAGTGATCTGCATTCTTTTATATTTCAACTTCTTCACTGTCATCAGCTGTCCAATTGGTACAGTGGTCAGCAAGCCTGACTGCCACAGCAATGGGCCCAGGTTTGAATCCCAGAGAAGGCATGTTTGCAGCTGTCTGTCCCTTCATAAGAGGCAATGGTGGCCATCGATTATGTACTTCCATAATGAAATGGCCACCCCTTCTGGCACAAGTCTAATAATGGCTATTAAAAAAAGTGCCCGGTCATTAAAAAACTTATTTACTATCTCATTTCTTAGAGACAAATGCATGATTTCTAATGAAATCAATTGATCTTAGTTTATTGTTAGCAAAAGCAGTGAATAACCACTGTCTAAAAATGAAGTTCTCAGTCAAGGAGGTATTCCCCTCTGCAAGGCAAGAATTTCATAGTTTCAAGGGAGAATGCAGTCAGCCTGATTCCACCTGCTTACTTGCTGCACCATTAAAAAATAATTGAAATATATATATATGTAATATATTTAGGAGCAGGAATTTTGATGTCGTAGAATTTAAAAACGCCGAATCACAATGAGTAAGAAATTTGGCAGTCAAGGTATAGTTAATTTAAATTTTTATTGCAGTAAACATGTTGTGGCCACAATGAAGTTGGCACATTAATTGTACCTATTACTAGAGGTTTTCCTTTTTGATAAATTTGCAGTAAGATAGTAGGAGCAGACAGACAAAATGCAGCTAGGCCAAAGCGTCAAAAGCAAGTGCGTAATGTTCAGGATGAAATCTCAAGTCAGACTGAGTTAGTTTCGGTTTTCAAAGCATTTCGATTGGACAGTTAATACTGCTGTGAAATTACCATTGGCTGGTTGAGTTCTAGCTCCATCCACATCACCATAACTATGCAAGAACCATATGACATAGAACAGTCTCGAAATGGCGCAGTGCAGAGAAAGGTCACTATTTTTAGAACAGAGAAGGGAAATTTATGTTGCTAATTTTATTCCTTATATATTCTTTATTTTTCTTACATATATATGTAAGATAAAAATGTATGAATCAGAATTATAATATAACTATAAACATTAATTCTTCCTCTCTATTCTAAAATCGTAATAACTTATCTGCATTGCGTCATTCAAATTAATCATGCGATCTTGCGTAACCGTTAATACCAGATGCCTCTTGACCACCAATCACCGAATTGTAAACCAAAACTTTTCTCTCGCGTGCTTCCATTTTTCATAACTACGCACTTCAGCTTTTGCTCTCTACTGTGCTAAGATGTAATTTCGCTGGATTGCTTTCTATCCCAACAATATCAAAAATGTAAATCTTCTGTGGAAAGGCACGACTAGAGTGCCAAATGATTGTGGCTACAAATATCAATTGGAAATAAAAATGGAATTAAAACTGTCTCGACTGCCAAGTTCTTTAGATATTACCAAGTTAGCATTACTAGCATACTGCGCTATCAAAATTCTTCTTCAATATCTCGCATCGACACTGCTCCGGCTTTTCCTTCCTTTGCTTTTATTATGACATATATATATGTTCTTTTCGAGTTTTAATAATGGAACAGATGATCTTCTGACAATACGAAAAGGATGCATGTGGTAAAACAAGTTCAGAACCACTAGTCTAGACATAACATTCAAGTAACTATAAAGTGGATTATATCACAAAATATAAGACATTAGAAGAAAGAATTCCTTGAAACTAAATAAACCACAATAATGGAAGCATGAAAGAATCCAATACATTGTTTTAAAACATTTGCAATGTAATTTATGCTAATTTTAAGTATACTAAAAGAAAATTTGTTATTGGCCTGACACTGAAGGAGACATTAATCCGAAAGGGGATGTCTGAAATTGGCAAAATCTGGTTAGTTATTACAAAAGTAAAGCTTGGGACCAGAGGTTGTGCGGATTTTAGGAGTTTGCGGATTTCAGGACAGAAAAGATAAAGCATAATATTCGGACTAAAAGTACAAAATAAATAAGGCGTATTAGATACATTTAATTAAATTATTATATAGCTTATTCCAATAATTTATTATATGCATTATATTATTACATATATAAATTGATTGTATTATTCATTGTATTATATATACACAGCATCGAGGTTTGCCGATTTCGCCTCATGCAAAGATTTCCGGTTTCGGATTTTGGTGTTAGAATCACTGTTGCTGTAAAATTTAACAGCTTTTCTTTATTTTTCCATATATCACACACAATCGTGTCGCAATTCCATACCAATCTGCCATAAATTGAGGAGTAGCATCTGCCTCTATCTTTTTCAGAATTTTCACTTTTTACATTACCGTCAATGCAACGTGTTTACGTTTTTCAACGTTGCAAGCAGTAAAATCATGAGTGCGTTTTTTATCTGCCATTGTATTAAAAAGGGCTGAATTTTAAAATATTCTTAATTGATCCACAAAATATCCAGATAAAAAGCAAAGGCAGAACTACACAATCTCGTGAAATAACAAAGCTCAGAAAATATAACAATGTGAACTTGAATGAAGAGTTGAGTGAATCATCTGCTTTTTCACCTCGATGCAGATTAGAGGGAAAAAAACTTCTATCTTATTTATTCTATCTTACTTTTTTAAACTTTTTTTATGTCAATAATTTGGTATTTCCATTATGACTCATTATTATTCGGTAAGTATTTTTTCTTCGATATTTCGTACTCAATGTTGCGGTTTCCGGAACCTATAAACTGAATGTTTATATTTTGAGAGGCAACGTGAATTTCAGGTCAGCGGATTTTCGGTATTTGGCCGATTCCGGATTAGGCTTTTTTCCAGATTATAGATGATCAATTTAAATCTGGTAAGATGACATGCAGAAATTATACAATTAAAAATATGAAACTGTAATTTATGAAATAAAGAGCAATTATGATCTAAAAGGTATAAAAATTAAAAAAAAAAAAATTTGTTTACTTTTGTTTTTTTTTTTCAATGT